GAGGAAGGCGGAGGGCTGGGAGCTGTGGTGCTCCTTCTGCAGCTCAGCCCGAAGAAGACAAAGTGAATTATGCAAGAGACTTGATCAAATTTCTTTCTTCAGTTTCATTGGCAGACTTCAGTTTCACAGCTCCTGAGGTCACACTGTTCTGTTTGAGAGTCTGAGGAGCATTTGCAGTGTAACAGAACTGTGAGTTTCCAGAGAAGCCCCTCAGAGCCCCAACATGACGTAGGTTTTCCCATCGAACTAGTTTCTCATTAATTAAAAAAGTATTCACCTTGGATAGCATGAACTCTTTGAGGAGGATAGTGGAGACAAGTTATTTATCTTCAGCCTTTAATCCCTTTTTTTTTTTTGACCTTTGCTTATTTCTTCCATGTTAGTTATTCATGTCTCTTGCATATCCGAAGCATCTTTGCTGGAACCTGCAGGACGATCATTGCTCTATTTTTCTAACTTCTCAATCTTGTCCTAATCAAAAATGTAAATACATGCATAGTGATTTGCATGTCATTAACTTCCAAAAAACACTGTCATGCTAAAATCAATGTTTTTTGGAATCCAGTTTTCCTGCCTGCCTGAGAATTAGCACCTGGAATTCATGAACCAAGAACTCTGAAAATATGAACTGCTTTCAGCACTGCTGTTTACCTTCTTTTTTTCAGTTCGTCCAGGGAAGAACATTAATTTAAAAATAGGGTGGTGGTGATTTTTCTTACCAGTTTCTTTCTTCAGTCTTCATACTTCAACAGAAAGTTTCATTGCTTTTTTTTAAAATTTAACAATGAGTAAAGTTAGCATGGCATAAACTCATTGTACACTCATTTTTCTCAGTGAAAATTCTCAGTGTGACAATTTATGAACACAGCATCTAACACATACCAGGAATTTATGGGAAAATACTTGTGAACAAGAACTTGGAGATTTCAAGGAATACAGGGAAACCAGGAGAAAATAATGTCATTGGGGCAGGGCTGGCAGTGAAGCTGCCCCTGAATTTCGGTTTCCTTGGCACAGAGCTTTGTGTATGAGCTGAAAGATCAGGCTGGGAGCTTGTGTGGAGCAATCAGCAGACAAGGATACGACACGGGCGCTTTGCCAGCAGTTTACATGAGTGACTTTGCTCGTGACAGGGTTGCTGAGAATAAGAATTCCTGGGTTTTCACTTGTGGAGGTGATTGCCACTGACATCTCAGGGATGCTGAGTGTGTGGGTTTGACAGAGTTGTTCTATCTTTAAGAATAAGCAGATGAGATTTAATTCCTGTTAAAAACCCGAGGTCTGAAATGAGTCTTTGATACGCTTCACTTGCCCAGGACTCTGGGCTTGTTTTAATAGGCTGCCTTCAAGTCAGTGAGTCTGTAAGCCGGCTCAGGGTTACTCTGGATCAGATGCCAGAGCCTATAAGGGCTCTCCCTCTCTGAAAGCTCTCACAGTCTTTGAAGACAGGATTATCAACAGTGCTGGAAATGCCCTGTGCTGCTGGAGTGTGTTATACTGTGGTTAGAAATGCACATTCTGCACCCCTGGGTAGCAAACAGAAAGGGCCACTGCTATTGATAATTCAGCGTAGCAACTTTAAAGTGTCTTTTCTTTAAGGAAGGAGGGGAAAACAGTGTGCAACAGTTCTCTTGATGCAAATAAAAGATATACTTCTAAATGGTGAGATAAAATGTAAGGCAAACTGTGGATCAGATTTAAATTCCAACTGTTTTTGAAAAACCATCTTGCTTTCTATGCTGGAACGCATTTAGCTGTGTGATGTCTGAGAAATGGCAGCTGTATTTCCCATTCAGCATTGTTTCTAATGAATTTCTGTATTAAAAGGTGTTAGATCTCTCACTTAGAAAAACACAAACAAACCATTTTTTAAGCAACCATCTAAGTCTTTAGAAACCAGCTGTGTCTCTGATGGAAAGAAGCACAGCATGTTCACTCTTGAGCATGTGTTCTCTTGTTGTAGCATGTGGGAATGTGCACTGGGAGCATCCTTTGAAGATTTTGACAGATGTGCATGGTTGAGCAATAGGATGTTTAGTGAGGGGATGCTCAACTATGCAATAAGTGATGTGCCAGCAACCTTCTTAGAGGCACCAGGGCCTTCATAATTAAATAAAAGAGGCCAGTGGCTATTGTCCTTCCCCAAGGCCAAATGGCACAGCACAGCTCCCTACATGTGCCTGAGATCATTCCCTTCCAAAACAGGGTGGCAGTGACTAGACTAGCTCCTTCCAAAAAGGAGTGGCAGTGGGGGATGGAACTGGGGGTCTCTGAGTTGTGCCCATTCATTCACTGTCTGGAATGAACAGGCAAAAAACCATTCCAGTGAGAGTGCAGGAAATTAAACCACATAAACAATCTCTGACCTGTTTTGTTTATTAGTGAATCTGTAGCTGTGATGTTCAGGACCTATGGCATCATCCCTCTGAAATTATTATTGCACTTTCATGTAGAAGAGGTGGTCATGTATAATTGGCTTAAACCATTTCATTCCTGTGTTTAGACTATAAATATCCCTGCTTTAGGTTTTGGTAACACCCTGATACTTCACTTTGTACACCAGCTCATCATTGCAATTTCACATTCATAGTGCATGAGTGCTTTTGTTTAATTAAAATTTACTGACAAAATATCAACAGAGTGAGTTCTTGACAAAATGTGAGAATTGTAATGAGGGTGCAGTTGTTATGGAAATACAGTTCTGGAACTAGCATCCTTTCAATTACAAACAGAGGATATTTGTCTGAGGGAGTTTTGGAGGTGAACCTTAGGAAAACAGTTAGTTAGTTAAACAGTATTTTTATATTCAACACAGAAACCAGTTAGTTAAATGGTCTTTTTATGTTCAACACTGAGCTTCTGAAGCTATGAAAACAGTAGTTTAAGCTTTAAATTTAATCACCAGAGTATAACAGAGAATATGTTAAATAGTCTTTAATCTAAATGATTATCAAGATACTCCTCCTTTAAGTTATGCTATCATTTCAATATATATATTTTAATCATCCAACTATTCCAGTGAATTTCACCTGTGGATGTAAGAAGAGACTTCGTATCTTGAATAGTTTGTGACTTCTGCAGATCATCCTTTCTCATTGTTGTATCTCAGGAGTTCAGTTTTTTCATTAAGCTGTAAAAGCTGCAGTCAGTCAATTTTCCAGCTGAAGTTCTATGATGTTGACTTAAGTGTGAAAGATTCTTCCCTTCCTGGGAAACATTTTGAAGGTCTTGTCTCAGAATTTTTTAGTAAGAAATCTGGACCAATTGTCTTAGTAGCTTGAGGTGTCACTTGGTTTGTTATACAGAAGCTCCAATCTAATTTTTAACCAAAATCCAGGCTTCAATTAACAAGGCATATAATTAAAGAATTTGAGATCAGACTTTTCTGGGTAAAAAAAGGTGCTTTTGGAATGAGAAAAGCCTGTGCTCAGATCCCATGAACCTCTGGTAAATGAGGGCTGATCACAGAAACTGTGATGTGCAGTAGGTTGGTAGTGAATTTTGTTGATGTTCTTTGTAGGTGTATTTTGAAAGCAGCTTTTCCACTGAAAGAGAGTGATGTGAACAGGGTGTGTCACTGGAAACCATGCTGTGTTTTGGTTAAGTGACATTTTGATTAAAATTGTTGTATATTAACACTTTTCCATTTGATGAAAAATGGAGTGTAATAAAACTTGTGCCCCTTGCCAGCCTCTGGGTTACTCCCAGCTATCTTTACAACTTCCATATCAGAAGGAAGAGGAAATTTTAAACTGGCGGGTAACTGACCTGTGGAAATCTTCCATTGGGCCTTTTAGACCAGCTGCTTTCCACTAAAATTCCCCTTCCAGCATGCCATGGCTGTAGGAAGATCAGTAATTTGGCCAATTATTTTAGTGTACATGCTTGTAGCCATTACTTCTGACAATAGATCTTTATGTACATTATATATGATTCTGGCTGGATGAAACATTATGTCTCTCTTCAATGTTATCTATCCAATTAGACAATATTCTTATAGGACTTGACTTTGGTGTAGTATATTGTTATTAGCTTTGTTATTGGACATTAATAAGACTGCAGAATGATGCTGCCATCAGTGCAGTGGACTGTGCAATATCTGTCCTCTCTAGGAAATATTAAGATAGGATTTTCTGAAGCATATTATAGCCTGAAAAACATAAACAAGATGATACCTGTTCCTACTACTGCCACTCACACATCCTTTGTTACCTGCTGTCTCTTCTTAGAAGTAATAAAAAGAAATGTGTATGTTGCCCAATTAATTTTTTTACCTTGATTTGTGGGAGGTTTTGTATTTTTTTTCAGTAAGAATATATTGTATTAACTCCCAGAAGCTGGAATTTCTGTGGGAGCAACAGAAGTTGCTGTGTATCCAAAGACCTTAATTGAGCTCATTGCCCCTCTCCTATCCTGTTCAGATTATATCTGAAAAAAGATGAAAAGTTTGAAATTAAACAGAATTTTTTTTGGTAGAAGAGCTTGTCTACCTGTCTACTGCAGGGAATAGCAGGTTATAAGCATGTAATTCCTGTTAGGACCAGCAACGTGTGTCAGCTGTGGGTTCCTCAGGGGAGGGATCTGGGTGAGAACTCAAGCAAAGAGATACAGTTCGGGTTTTTTCACTCCTTGTTATAATAGTGAAGCAGGACCAGGAACCAGGACAAAACTGTGGCCTGCACTGAATGGCTTACAGAGCTTTACTGCTTTAAAATACATTTAATTTAGGGTTGGTTTTGTTTTACGTGACTTCAGTGGTTTAAGTGGTGGACAGAGAATGGTCCTTCTGGAAGGCCTTCTTTCCAGGTGGCTCAGTCACCTTGGCAAGGGTGAAACCTGCTGGGGAAGCCATGAGCCCTCAGAAATGTAACGCTTTTCCTGATTTTTGCTTTCAGCCCTGTTACATCCACCTGGATCCACTCTCTCCCCATTGGAAAGTCCAAGACCATCAGGACAGAGAAACGGTCTGCAGACTTGCCCCTGTGGGCACTGGCCACTGAACAGACCACTCCCCTTGTGGGCACAAGGTAAGGTCATCCAGGGGGGCAGAGAGGCTTCTCACAGGAGGGAAAAGCAATCTCAGGATCAGCACTGAACATCCCTCCTGGCCTTTCACCCCACAGAAGTTGTCTTGCACCCGTGGACCCTGTTTTTCCTCTATTTCTTTCCCTTGGCTGTAAGTCAGAGGTACCCCAGTGCTGTCCTCCATGTGGTTACACCATGTGAGGGACAAGAGCTGGTGACAGAGCCAGCTGTCCCTCTCCTCCTGCAGTCTGACCTTAGTTTTGAGGCTTCCTAAGCCTCCCACTGGTGCTGACACTCATTGCATTCCATCTTTGTGGTTTGTCCTCTCATGTCTGCCAGCTCCCCACCCTGGAACTGAGGTGTTATCTGTGGCAATCTGTGTTATCTGGGCTGTTATCTGTGGCAAATACCACAAGCATGACCTGCAAAACTCAACTGAACCCACCTTTTTTCATGTGCTGAAAAAGTGTTACAGAAGAAAAACACGCTGCTTTTTTTTTTTTTTAATATGCTCCTGCTACCTGAACCAGAAAAGTGTGCATCACCTTACCATCGGCATACTTTTTAACTTTTTACTTTTTAGTAGTGAAGATGACCCTAAATAAATATTTGGAAATGTTATCATGGAACAACTTTTGACAAACGGTGCTTTTTACTCTGGTTTTTCCACTTTTACAGTTAGGTTTGAAAAGTAATGTTTTTGTGTCACTGTGAATGCCACTTGTCAGTCAAGTAAAATGAGTGCGCAGAATAAAGCCATGTGAAATTTTTAGACATTTTAGCATTCTTCTTATGCTTCAAAGCAGAAAAGAGAAAAAGGAGCCTTTTTTAAAGCTCAACTGAAAACTTAAAGATTTTGTTGAAGTTTTCTCTCCTGTGGTAATCCACCTGTTTGATATGACTTTTGTCAACAAAGCTGGACTAAAACTTTGAGGATTACTTTGAAACCTTCCTCACATGAGACTTCAGATTGACTAAGAAGGTATAAAATTTCATGAAATTAAACTCATCAAACTACTTATTGCTTCCCTTTTTGCAAAGTTCCCTTACTTGCCAAACTAGATGGGACAAAAATACAGTGCCAGTTACTCTGAATGCAGGAGTTTAGCTCTTGGTAACACACTTCTAGGAGAAAACGCATATGGACTTCTTTTGGTACAGTTTACTCATGCTTATGTTTTTTATTCAGAGTGACAGAATGTTGTGCAGTACAAAATGACATGTGTAGTAATATATTCATTATACTGATATTTATTGATACCTAAGAGTCTATAATTTTAAACCTAAACTGGAAATAATGTCCTGCTGAGATCCTCAGATATCAGCATTTCCTTGCTGGTCATCTGGAAGTGTGAAATGGTCCTGTGAAGTGTAGTCTAATTAATGGATTTTGGTAATTTATACTGCATATCAGTGTAATCATTACCCCAAGCCTTACTCTGCCATGTTGTTGCAATTGTTGGTTTTATTTGTTTCCCTCTTAGCATTTGGCTACAGCTGAACTGTTTATAAAATTACTGTTCAGTATTTCAGCTTCTCTCCAGTCAACTCTTATTTTGAAAATGGCTTTTTCATGTCTCTCACTCTTTTTTAAAATTAAAATCCTACTTGAACCAGATGGTAGTTTTAGCTTTTCACTTTTGAACTTGGATTTTTTTCCCCTTTTCTTTTATTTTTTTGTAAGCAGTTTATTATATTTTAATCTCTCAGTAAGTAGCTACAGATTATAATATTTTTAAAAGTTTGTAGAATGAGAAGCACCAGATAATAATTCAACTGGTGACCCAAAAAGAGAACAAGATTACTTGTTTTCTAGACCTTAATTTATATGCCAGTTGATTGAGATAAGGACTTCAGACCTCCATATTACATCTTTGCTTGAGTAATACAGACATTTTGCAGTGGTGGAATCAGATCCACAGATTCAAACCAACAAGAAAATGAAGGGAAATATGAAAATGAACAAATATTAATTTAAATCCTTCTTTAGACCTTTTTCCACTGTGTCTGTGGAGTCACATCAGTGGGAAAACTTGGGTCCCCTTGGGTACTTGTAGCTGATGCAAGTTCCTGATTTCCTAAACATCTTATGTTTCAGTGTGCTCAGTTCACACAGATTAATTTCATCAGTTTCTCACAAACTATAGACAAATGTTGCATTGATAGTTGCAAATCTATACAAAAATGCTTGTGCTTCAGAACACCTGGAGGTGTTAAACAGGTTCTGTGGGGAACAGAGGGTTTGCCTTGAAACCTGTCTGCCTGTAAACTAAAAATGGAATGTAAAAAACCCAAACCAAACCAGAGCTGGAGAAAGTAATCAGTATATACAGTCCTGCTGTAAAATATGGGCATCATTTTGCTGCTTCAAACCATGGCAGTGTTCCATATAAATGAATTAATAAACTCCCATGAGATATTTGAATACTATCATGCATTTAGAAAAACATTCACGTAACCACTGAAGAGAGTTTATTAGGTAACCAGAAATACTGGCTGAAGGAAAACCCAACAATTTTTACATTTGTGGTTCATACAAGTAAGACATACCTGTTGGCTTATACCTAAGTGTATTTTATCTTGCTTAGGGACAGAGAGTGAACTAAACACCTTCTTGATGTCTTTTTGGATCCTAATCTGCCTGATATTTGGTCTGACTGAAGTGGTCATTTAAAAACTTTCAGGTACATTGTTTATGAAGCTGAGAAAGTGTAATTGAATTTATATTTTCCTAAAGAAATTTCTTCTCTGAATGTTAACCCTATTTTTTTCTACTGATGACATTCAGTTAATAATTTCCACCAAAATTTCTACATTACTTTACTTGTGTTTGAGGACAACCAAAAATCACTTGTTTATTAGTGTAAAGCATTTTGCTAAAAGAACATGTAGTTCTGTCCAGGGAGGGTGTAAATTCCTGCTCTGATTTCTGGATGTGGATCATTTAATTAATGGGCTGTCTGATAATGTGGTCACACCTTTAAGTCAGGCTTTCTTAAAAAGGACAGAGTGTAACAAATTCCTGGCAGCCTCACTGAAGTATAACACTTTCAGAAGTCACTAAGCCAGTTAAGAAATATCCAAGGTGCACTGATCAGTTGTTTAGTCAGTTAATGCCAACAGGATGTCGGTGTTCCCTGGCTGGGAACATTCGCAGATGGTGGGATCGGTGGTATTGTCACTTCTGGCAATATATAAAACTCACTGGAACTCTTGAAATTACCTTTCTGTGTGGTTCTCTTCCATTGTGAAAGAATGTGTTGCCCCAAGGACTGTTCAGTGAGGTCTCCTAAACGTCATCATTAAGGTGGTGCTTAGGTTTCTGTAAAGAAAAGAGTGTGGTGGCCTAAGGACAGTTGTGAAAAGGTTGAAAAGAAATCTGTTTCAAACGATCCCAAAATCAGGCATTAGTAAGGTACAAGGTTTTTGTGTCGTACATTTAAACTCCATATAAGAGCAGGATGCAGAAGAGTTTCTGCTTGCTGACTTTTTTTTTTAGTTCCACCAAAGTAAATGTTATTTCAGTTCTGCTGGCATACTCCTGAATAGAATCATAGAATCATAGAATCAGACGGGTTGGAAAGGACCTCTGAGATCATCAAGTCCAACCCTTGATCCACTACCACCACAGTTGCTAGACCATGGCACTAAGTGCCACGTCCAGCCTCATCTTAAAAACCTCCAGGGACAGAGAATCCATCACTTCCCTGGGCAGCCCATTCCAATGGCTGATTACTCTCTCTGTAAAGAATTTCTTTCTAATATCCAACCTAAACCTCCCCTGGCACAGCTTAAGGCCATGCCCTCTTGTCCTACTGCTGATTGCCTGGGAGAAGAGACTAACCCCCACCTGGCCACAACCTCCTGTCAGGGAGTTGTAGAGAGCGATGAGGTCTCCCCTGAGCCTTCTCTTCTCAAGGCTAAACAACCCCAGCTCCCTCAGCCTCTCCTCACAGGACTTGTGTTCAAGTCCCTTCACCAGCCTCGTTGCCCTTCTCTGCACCTGCTCCAGCCCCTCAATGTCTTTCCTGAACTGAGGGGCCCAGAACTGGACACAGCACTCCAGGTGAGGCCTCACCAGCACTGAGTACAGGGGAAGAATCACCTCCCTGGTCCTGCTGCCACACTGTTCCTGATCCAGGCCAGGATGCCATTGGCCTTCTTGGCCACCTGGGCACACTGCTGGCTCCTGTTCAGCTTCCTGTCAATCAAAACTCCCAGGTCCCTCCCTGCCTGGCTGCTCTCCAGCCACTCTATCCCCAGCCTGTAGCACTGCAGGGGGTTGTTGTGGCCAAAGTGCAGGACCCGGCACTTGGCCTTGTTGAACCTCATCCCGTTGGAACCAGCACAACTCTCCAACCTGTCCAGGTCCCTCTACAGAAAGGAAGCTGCAAAGGGAAAAACCAAAAAACCCTCTGATTTTACCTGCTCTGTGTTTCATTTCCTATTTCTTGGTTTGCATTCCAGAGATTGCTGTTGTAAATGTCACTGGTGGCCATAGGATAAGGGAAGTGTAACGGAGCAGAGCCTTTGGTGAAAGTTTTCTCCCTTTCTCAGCACAAATTAAACAGGCAATGAAAAGCAGAGGTTGTAAAATCCTTCAGGCCAGGCAAGGGGAAGGACAGGGCAGCTGTCACTCGGGGATGGGTGTGGGTGGAAAGAATAGGACTGGTTCCCTGGCAGAAGGACTCAAAAGAGAAATGAAGCTGCAAGTCAAACATTTATCATCCTTCACTCTTTTTGGGCTTATTCTGACTTAAACTGTGCAAGGAGAAAAGGTGGTGTGAGGTCTAGGACACTGGTTGTAGGGATTGTCACAATCCTGTCCCTTAATAATCAACAATTCTAGTGTGTTGTAAGTGTAGGGTTGAACAGAGGTGATGAGTGTTGTAATAGGGTGTCAGGTTATATAGGTTTGAGATGACAAGGAAAATAATTTATTTGAGGTTTGAGAGAAGTATAGACAAAAGTTTGGAAGTTACATCAGAACCATGGAATGACA